AAGTGGCTGCAGGAGGGGCCACGTGCTGCCATGTCCCCCACTGCTGGACCCTTCCGTCACCACAGGTCTTGGGCTCGGCAAGCGGGAGCCAAACAGACACAGAAATGCGTATTTCCTTCTTTTGATCAGAAGTAGACACTTTCCACCTATGTCCAACGACTCCTGTCCTTCCTTGAGACAAGATCCAAGGGGTGTTTCTAGTTCAGGAGCAGAAAACTGAGGTAGAATTCCCGCTGTGAAGATGTCCACCGAAGGCACAGCGATGCCAACAATGGGGCCACCGACCTGAATTAGACTTAATCACGGTTATGTTCAACACTCTGACCTAAATCTCCTTTTCTACACGAACCAGCTCTCCCAGAGGGTTTTCGATATGGGCAGCAGGAGCGAGCCCAGCTGCCAAGTGAGCAACATGTCTAACTCCAAACGTCTAACTCCAAACATGCCACCCTGGACACTCTGCAGTAAAGCACACCAAAACGGCGCAGGGTCCAAGCTGTTCTCCGGTCTGCGAACCGTGGCTTTACAAAGCTGCCAAGCCCCACAGGTGGTGAGAAGTTATCCAGCGGTCCCCTCTGGCATCTGATGAGTAGAATGAGAAGTATATGGTACCCCTGGACACAACAGAAGCAGGTATGAATTATCACCTCCTGGCTCAGGAACGCACCGTCAGCTCCACAACATTACAGATATTGTGGCAGGGACCGTTCCAGACTGTGAGCAGGAGCAGATGCTCTCCAGTGTCAGCCCAGGTCGGACATCGCTCCCCATCTCCACCGTATCGGTTGTGGAGATGAAGGAACACGAGACAGCAAGTTTAGGAGGCCCAAAGCCCAAACACACAACTGATTTTGGGCACCTGACTTCTGCTAAAATCTGTGGGAACAGGATGCTCAGCTCGCCCTTTGGATCTACGCCCAAGGTTTTCAGGACTCCAGCTAGAAAATCGCGAGGTTAGGAAGCAGAAGGGCTTGGCGCCAGCCCCACTCCTCCCCCTCCACAAGCGCAGCCCACCACTCATGGGAGGTGCTGCCATATGCTCGACCTGCCTCCCCAGATCCATCACGCTTGAGTGACCGAACGACAGGCTACAGCCCTTTCCTTGAACCTGCACACCGCTGAAAAACCACGCACCAAAGCGGAGCCGCTTCTGAGTCGGTTCCTTAGTGACAACAGTCCTCTTGCACTGAGATTCACGTGGCAAAGGGGTACATTCCTACACCAGGAGACTTGCTGGAGAAGAGAGGAGTGAAACAGCAGCTCCCATAGGTCTAGGAGGGAGGTTTTGTTCAGGAAACCATAGTAGTAAGTGCCAGGGCACTGCAAAAGCTCCCTCTGCCATGAGCCAAGGCTTTTTGCTCCAGCAATAGCCCGGGCCTCCTCTCCCCATTAGCTCCAGAGCTCCTAGTTCAGGAGCCATGCGCTTGTCCTCAGGAGTGAAGCACATTCAAGAGCAGAACTGTTGGGTGGTGTGTACTGCACAACCAGCCAAAGGTTGTGTTCAAGTCCAGTGGACACAATGGTTCCTATTTTGCCATGTAAATGGCTAATTTCATGCCAAACATTTGTTCAGTTGGAGAATCACTAGCTCGTCATCTTCTCCATTAGTGAAATTTCTAAACCGATGTTGCACCAAGAGATACATTTGTTATGCATACAAACACTCCATAAGAGTTTTAACATGGGACTTGAATAGCTGGAAGCGAAGGAAAAGATGCGTACGCAAGTGAGCGAAGACAATTACACAACTAGGCTTCAGACCATAAACTTCCAAGTCCCTCACGTGTTCTCCTGTCCCATTGTCTGCCTAAACCATTAAAGACTCTTCTACCTCTGGTTCTACTGCGTTCCCAATGCTATCTGCAATTCAGCTTTTTCCTTCTGTAACAGGGGTCCCCAGCTCTGCCCGGCTGCAGGAACCTTTGCCTTGGGTGCACTTTGGGTTCAGAAATGGCAATCGGCACACACAATGCTGGGATGGAGATGAGCGCTGATGAGACAGATGGGAAGGCTGAGCACAGCCAGCCAGGACCCAAGCCACAACACTGAAGGGCAGGAGGATGTTTACAAACATCAGTGACGCCGGCTTTTGCCTTCTCCAACTGACTCCATAGCATAATCCTAAAATCATTCCTACCCATCCCACCAAGGACCTTGAAAGTCAACCATTAACCACCACCTGGAGCAAAGGCTGCGAGTCCTCATCTGACAGGTAGATGGAGAGTGTCTACTTCCACCGAAAGCAAGGACGTGGGTCAACTTCTTTTTTAAACCATTTTTCCACATTGATGACCAGTACAACACAGGCCAGGAAGAAACACACTTGTGTCGGCTACCTCTTGGATGGCAGGTTGGGTGGACAACTCATGCTCACCCCAAAGATGCATGAGCATTGATTAGCCAGGAAGGAAGTCACCTTTCACCTATAAGCAAAACCAGACGCATCTCCAAGACCCCTTCCATGAGGCCAGAAACCCCACCACGAGTGCCCACAACAGATTACCCTGTAAGAAGACATAAATGAGGGGTTACTTACTATAGGAGTAGCTGCTAACTTCAGATATTGCTGGTGAATGGGAAACCTTGAGCTGATTTTTGACTTTTAACCCCACCTCCATCTTCTTCATTTTGGCAGCCGCTTTGTTTTTACCTTCCTTGGTGGTTTTCAGTGACAGGCCCAGGTTCTTGGCCAGGCTCTTCTTCTCCTCCTTGCTCGGCAGAGCCTCGTGCGGTGGCAGATACCTGCTGCCACCTCCGCTAGTTTTCGGCTTTCCCCCAGAGCTGTCAGAAAACTTGAAGGGGGATTTGAGCTTGTCTTGTTTGGTGAGCGACAGGGCCTTGTCAAGCTTGCTGGCCAACTGCTCCTGATCCGATGGCATCTTCTTCTTCTTGAGCTTTAACTGCCAAGGTGAAAGGAAGAGACACAGGTGAATACAGGAGGTATCATGGCAGACTTGAGGGATTTTACTAGCCCTCATAACAGTCTCTCATGTGTGCTAGTTAATAATGCCTCAAAATGATGGTCTTAAGCCCCAGTTGCCATAACCCACCATAGTGCTAGGGAGGAAGAAGAGGAAGACGTCAGCAAACAGCACAGCTTTACCCTTCCTTATCAAGCACTACAAAATAACAAGATTAACTTAGAAAAACTGAATTTGCTTCCAAAACAAATACGTTCCTAGTACAACATGTTTTGGAGTTCTTTCTTCTCAATACCTTCTGGTTTTTAGGATATGTTTGGGTTGGTTCTACAAGCTTTTCTCTAAATGAAGATTAAAACTCTTCTTTACCAAAAACCCCAGCCAAATAAATACAGATTTACACATTACCAATCAGCTCCGGAGGCCTGGATGCCAAAAAGACCCAAATACCTCTCAGCAAGAGCATGAGCACCACTACACTACAGCCAGGGCTGCTACAACCTTTTCAGTATTTTCTTGCTTCTTGAAAAAACTAAATATACTTTACATGTGCTACAGCTAGATAACAGCAGTTGTAACTCTGTACTTTGCCTGTATGTGTTTTGGATTTCATCGGCAGCTTAAAGCTCCAGTAAACATCTCATTGCCTCAACAGGAGCAGAAGAAAACCCTGCATTTAAAATGGGAAGGTTGTGCTCCCTTTCCTCCCTCGCTTCGGGAAGTCCGTTCCCCTCAGCAAAGGGGTAAGACGAGCACTGCTCTGGATTCAGAGCTAGTGCAACGCTCTGGCTGGCTCAAGGGCGCTTGCCCCTCTGCTGCCTACCAAAGAGGTCCAACCTCCATAAGCCAACGTTAGCCTTTGCAAACACCCCTCCGCCACACACGGTGCTCTCATGGAAAGCTTCTAAACCCACGTGAACTGAGAGCAGATGCTCTAAGATCAGGAGGAATTATCCAGAACAAGCTAGCACTAGCAAAGCAAGAAAGAGATCTGCTTTTGGCCCATGGCTCCATGTTCCCCATGAGGGCACTGACCTCGTTTGAGAAGCTGGGAGCCACATCGTGCTCTTCCCAGCTCTGGTTCCTCCCTTTCATCTTGCCACTGCTGCTCTCCACATCCTCGTCCTCCTCCGGGAGGGCCCCTTTGTGCCTCTTCTTCATGCCCTCACCAGTCTCAGAGTCTTCGGAGAGCAACAAGGACTTGCTCAGTCTGCAAGCCAAGCACAGGATGGGTCAAGGTGGGGGGCTTTCCTCTCTGTGATCCCCACCGAGCTCAAAAGCAAGGTTAAATGCCTCCTAGGATAGCGGGGATCCTCAATGGGAGCCAAGTCCACTGTGAAGTGACAGCAGTTTGGACAAGGTTTTCCACCAAACAGGATAGCCAAGGAGCCCTTCTTGCACACTCTTGACCACCAGTACAGATGAGGGTGCCTGAAATCAGAGACCTGCCAGATGACCTCTGAAAATAAGTCATTGGTGTCTTGAGTAACAGTCACTGAAAAGTTCCTGATTTGGTACAGAGCAGTGGAGGGAAGGACAGACAGCTGAGCTGGCTCCATAGGCCTTTTCCCACCTGTACTTTCACGGACTCTGTGGGTGCAGAGACAGATTCTCGAGGCCCAAGGAGGTGTCTCACTGCCCAGACACTTGCTCTGGTTGCTCGGGTATGAGCAAGGAGGTGGTAAGGAACTGTCACGGAGGGTGACACACAGGGACAAGGGTACTGCAGGGACTGGCTTGCTCAAAGGACAAGCAACCTGCTTTACAAGCCTGGTCTCTCCGCGAAAGGCATTTGTGATCTGCGTCTTCGGTCTCGCTTTGGGATTTGAGGGGAAAGGAGAGGGTAAATAAATAATAATTAAAAAAAAAAAATAGGTGAGACTATAAACATGTATTTAACTGCTCCCCAGCTCTCTCTAGTAACTACCTGACGGATGATCAGTCAATATCTCAAGACCGCTACCATGCCTCCATTAAAAGCTCTCATACGCCGTCTCCTTCACACTACCACCACCACAAATCCACTGACGTGAGGCAGCCTCCTCAGCATCCAGGCATTTCCCCTCCCCTCCATCCTCTCCGCTGACCTCCGTCGGCAGCTAAACCAACTCCTCAGGCCCTGGATGTTGGCTGATGGTGCACCTCCATCTCCCACACCATGCTGCTCAAGCACTCCTGCGATGTGGGGACATGCACGCGGCAACACGCTCATGCATGCACACATGCACAACTCTAGCCACCTCTGGATGCCTCCAGCCTGTCCAGCCATCCAAACAAGAAGAGCAAAACACAAGAGCCACTGAGAGGACAGATTTTCAGAAGCACATGGTCAGTGGGAGCTGGGCACCTGAATCTAGTTTTGTAGCGTTGAAAGGATGTTTGCAAAAATGCACAGCACGCAGGGAGGCAGCTCGAAGGTGCCTTCACATTGGAGGGACTTGACCATCTGTGGATGGTTAGATGGTCAATGGTGGTGAGATCTAGGCATCCAAACAAGAGCAGATGGACTTGCAAAAAGAGAAGAAAGCAGAAGACAGAATGATCCAGAGAGAGGTCAGGCGAAACCAACTCCCACTGATGAAAGGAACAGGAGACAAAGAGAGCAGAAACACAGCAGAGAGGCCCTAGAAAGTAGACAACCTGAAAAAACCCTGTCCTTCCAGGTTTTGACATCAGCATCCCTGCAATTAGCTCTACAGCACCTCCTCGCACCGTCCGCTCTCCTGAAAACACACGAGGATGCGCTCCCCAACACCAAGTGCTCACCTACAAGTCCCTGCCCAGCCGGCTGCTCCATAACACCTCACCGCTGCTCAACTCAGCCTGTCCTACTTGCACCCAACACCACAGACACGTGCTCTACCAGTGAGGAAGGAGGATGCTGGCACTGTATTCCCACTGTAAGGACACACTCGCGTTAAACGCACACACTTCCAGAACAGCACTGCTGCCAGAGACCGGCCTGCCAACACAACGCCATGGCGAGCCCCCGCTGCATCCGAGATGCTCTCCCCAAGCGAGACCCTGGTGCAGCGACCCTGCCGTTTTCCCGTCTTCCCCAAATTCCAGCCTTACTTTCCACTCTTGCTGTCACTCTTCCCTCTCTCCTTAATGGGTGACAGAGCGCTTGATCCAAGTTTCCTCTTCCTGGGCCTTCCAGGGCCTCTTCTCGCCAAGCTTCTACTTTTCTCGTCATGCTTTTCCCTTTAAAAAAACCACACGCTTCACTGTTAACCAAGGCGACAAAAAAAAAAAAAAAAGCAAAGAAAAAAAAAGGCTAAATCAAATTTTGCAACCAAAAAGCAAAACAAACAGGAAAAAAAAAAACATAAAGCAAAGAAATCCAAAAAAGAAGAAAAAGGGAAAAAAATTAAAGAAAGCAAGCAAGAACGGGAGTCAACCCAGAACCTTCGCCTGTCACCAAACTGCTAAACTGAGCTGCTGAAGCCAAGGTTGTCTCTAACACGGTGTCCCAGCTGCATTCACCAGTGATCAGGTTCTCGTGTCACATAGCCTAGGAGTGTGTTGTGCAAAGCCCTGGCGGGCTGTACCAGGAGGAGAGCAGAGGAGAACAGGGAGGGATGGAGGGCTGCTTTCTCTCCCGGCACCGAGAGACAGTGAAGGTGCCCAGCTGGAAAGAAGAAGACCAAGTGAGCAGCCTGTGACTTACTCGGAGTCCCTGCGGCGCTGAAGCTTCACCAGCTCCCGCTGCTTCTCCTTGTACCGCCGCTGCAGCTCCGCCAGCCTCATCCTGTAGTCCAGCTCCATCGCATCCATGTTCTCGATGGCCGATTTGATGGAATACATCTAGGGTGAGGGGGCAAGAGGGGGTGAGAAGGTCAGGACACATCCAGGTCCCCACCTAGACTGGGGTGATGCACACTGGGGTGCCCTTGCAACAGCCAAGATCTGCACCCTGGCAGCGAAGCCCTTCGTGCCCACAGTGGGGCAGAGCACCCTCGCCCACAACAAGCACAGCCACAGAGTGGTAATGAAGCGAAACCAGCCAAGCAAAGATGTTCTGTGGCTTACGCCTGCGATGGTACCAGCTCTGAGGGAGAGCAACCCTGCGAAAGAACCTGTAGGGTAAAATACACCCATGGAGTCTCTTTGCCCTTATTTAAAAAGACAGATCAAAATATTCCCTGCCTTGGAACACTTACTTGCAGGGTACCAAATAATTTGTCAGTCTCTCCCACGGGGAAGAGTCAGTAAAGAAAAAAAACAAGGAAAAACCCTCCTGCCACTATCTTTATTCTTCCCCTCCCTGCCAAAGCAGTAGCACACGAGTTCCTGCTGGCTTTGTATTACAAACACCACTTCTAGGGCTGCCGAGGGTCCTGCTGAGATCAATGGTGTTGATTCACAAACAAGGGAGGAAGCTAAATCCCACCACGCTGACTCCCGCACAGCTACGGACGCGATGCGAGGGAAGCGCCGGCTCGTTTTGCCGAGCGCCGAAGCGCAGCACGAGCCGGGTGCCAAACTGCGGCTGGAAGAGCGAGCTGCGGCGAGTGGATGCGCTGCGGCTTTTCAAGCTCAGTCACACGAAGAACTACTTACAGGTTCATCTTTCTTCTGCATCCAGCTGTACTTTTTGTTGGGATTCAGCTCTCGAGGCAGTCGGATGGTTTTCAGACTTTCCATAAAGGGAGTGGAAAGTACTTCCATGAGCATGTGGGTGCTGGCAGCCAGCAAACTCTCCAGCGTTGGCCGGACGGGGAAAGTCTCTGGACCTGCTGGGAAGAACAGAAAAAAAAGCCATAGAGGTTCACCTCCCAAGGCTGCTCTTCCAGCAGGCACAAGGAGAGGCTGATGTCCCTTTCTGGACCATGGCAGCTCAAGGAGCCTCCCGGCCACACTTGGCCCCCACTTGAGATCTTCCGTTGTACCCAGCCATGGTGCAACTGGCAGTTCCCATCACATCTCGCCTCAGGAAGTTACTTGAAGGTGAGATCTCTTCAGGACCTGCCAAGCTCTTGGAAAGCATCATCTGGAGCTACTGAGGCTAAACTCCAACAGACTGTAGACTCCGTGCCTGCCAGAAGGGTGTTACCCTGGCAGCTCTGAGCAAGTGGGGCTCCATTTCCGCTACACATACCACAAACTGTCTAGACACGGTGAGGGCTTTTGGAAGGGGAGAGCAGTACAAAAGCCACACGTAGCTCAGCCTACTGCAACAAAACCCCTGTTCCAACCCCATCCAAAGTACCAGCCACTCCTGCAACTCAGGGCAACGCTCTCCTTGCTGCCTGGCCGAAGTTGCAAGAGATCCCACCTGTGCCTCTGCTCCTCTGCCCGCACAGAGGGCGAGGGACTGTACGCAGGGAGACCCAACCTGGCCCAAGGCTGGTCAGACTCCACACTCACAACTTACTTTGCATTTCTTGCTTCCGTTTCTCCAGCTCCATTTCTGCAATTTCACTCAGCAAAGTGATCCCTTGCAGGAAGGAGTGCTCCAAGGCTTGGTCAGGTACCACCTCCACCTTCATCTGGGACGGAGGGATGCTGGTGGTGGTCAACAAGGAACAAGCTTGAGGCATTTCTGTGGCAGGCACCAAAGCGGTCATCCCAGCCAGTGGGTCGCCCGGCTTGATGTCTAGAGCTGGGATTTGGCAAGAGATTGCCTCTTCTGTGTAGGAAGCGATCTCTGGCCCCTGCTCTCCCTCCTCAGGAGGTAGGCTGGGAAAGTCCCTGCCCCGGGGCACATCAGCGCTCTGCAGATCCATGGCTACAGAGGCCTCCTCCCGCTGGGGCGTCAAGTCCATCTCCGGCGGCTCGTTCTCTGTGTGCACGAGCGAACCGTCATAGTCCATGTGCACAGAGCAGGTTTCTGCTCCACTCCCAGTCTCTGCCTGGGCCTCTGCTTCTGCAGGACAGGCCACAACCTGGTAAGGTGGTGGGCAGCTCTGGAGGTCTTCCTGGTCCTGCTCCATAGCACTCAGGGTTTCACCTTGATGCAACAGGAGATTGCAATTGTCCACGTTCTGCACTGGGACGGCTGCGGAGGTGGCGATGTTCAGAGTCCCCATGTCCTGCTCACAGATGCCTTCTTGGCTTTCCTCCATCTGCACCTCTGATTTCACCCTCTCTTCCAAGGACTCCTCTTCTGCTGCTGCTTGGATGGGCTCTAGCATTTTGGACGGAGACAGGTGGATGGGCTTGACCTCTGGGGAAAGTTCCATGTGCTCAGAGCCTTCAGCAGGCAGTGGAACGTCAGGAGCCAGGCCATCCGCATCAGATGCTGCGGTGGGCTGGAGGAGGTAGGGATAGTGTCTTCCAAAGGAGGGAGGCAGGGACTGGAATGGGTATCCCGGGGGGATCTCTGCAAGATATCAGAAAAGACAGGCTGTGTAATGGCCAGGTCTCCAAAGCACCTTCTCTCTCGCTAAGCCACAGAGATGGGTTCTCTTTGCTTCCATCAGCTCTCGTCTCTTCCTGTTCTCAAGCAGTAGTTGCTTTGGGCACCTCTCTCCTGGCCAAGCTGCTGCAGGCAGCAGCAGCCCAGAGGCCCCTTCTGCACCTTTCCAGCTCTCTCCTGCAACTGGAGAGAGATCTGCCTCTTGCATCCTTCTCCCACTGAGACTTCAGCCCTGGAGGAACTAACCCAGGCTCAACCCAAGGGGAGAAGACAGCCTACAGCCTCAGGTGCCCCTACGACCCAGGCGTCGATCCCAGTCCACCATCCCACCCCTGGTCCTTGCCTCTCCCCTGCTTTTTAGAGGAGCTACATGGTTTTCTCTAGGGGAAGGGATGGAAGCAGGAAAGAGTCGAGGAAAAAAAGGGAGGCAGGCACAAACACAACGGGACTCTGCCAAAGCAGGGTTCTCTTACCTGGAAACAAGGCCTGATATGGACCGGCAGCTTCTTTTTCCAACTCCAGGTCTTTCTTCTCCACGGTCTCGGGTGCCTCTTCCTTTGGAGGGATGGCATGGAGAGGCAGGGGGCGGGCTGGAAGGATGGGAGCTGGGGGTGGCGGGGTAGGAGTAGGCTGGCTGCGAAGGTGGCTCCTCCATCTTTTGGATCACCTCAGCTTTGAGCACAGACACGGGTGAGGCCCTGGGAGAGAGGGGAGGTGGACTCACAGCCTTGCTGTAGGACGTGGAGGTGCTAGGAGACAACACGGGTGGTTTTCGGTGCACCAGTCCCGGGGCAGAAGAGGAAAGGCCTGATTTGGCACTGTCCAGGCTCCGTTTTGTCACCTTCTCTTCCATATCCACACGCTGCTCGTTTGCCTTTAACCTCTCCTGCGACAAGAACAGAGCAAAACTCAGCACGACATCGCTACCTGCTCCTGGAAAGCCGCACAGACCTACCACCAAAGAGACCAAAACATGGCCTTATCAAACATGGACTGGAATAAAAAACATGCTCCTCAGTGCAACACCATTTTAAAGCCAATCTGATGGAGGGTGACACTGATCTGTGATAGCTTTCTTTTCAATTCCCAGCTCCAGGAGTCACGTGAAGGGTGTCTCAGCTTTCACTTGCAACCAAAGGAAACCATTTATATTTCTAAGCTTCCAGCCTAGCAAGCACACATGTAAAATGAAGGCTGAAAACCAGATGACCACTATAAAAATGAAACAGCTTTAAGAACACCCAAATGAAAGCTCACAACTTCCAACTTCCAAAATGCTTTGGTGAACAGGAGTTGGCTCCAGGACCCAGTGTGATTGCTGCCGGTGTTGCAGCTGCTTCTCTGAGCCGCTCGAGAGGTTTGTTTGGAGGTGACCAGGGATGAAACCACTCAACTAAACAAAGATATCCCTAGGGAAGCAATCCAGGTTGCGCTGGTGCTGGGCGGCTCTCCTGACAGCATGGCTCAACGGCTCTACACCAAACCTCTCCAAAACCCACCGCACCTGTGTGGGATGCACTGAATGCCTCATATTCCAGGGACCGGTGCAGGACCGCTCCAGGCATCCATACCCTTGAGACACACTTGCAACACCAGTGCAGCTGCTTTTACAGCCCTAACATCCCAACTTCAGGCTCATTTCAAGTCCAAGCAAGAAGCTCTTGAAAACGTACCACGAGCTGGGCACTCCTCTGTAGCTCCATGGCGTGGGCCGCTTGCTGCTGCAGGATGTACAGCTCATGCTGCCGCAGCAGCTGCTGATGGGAGAGGAGCTGGAGCTGGTGAGCGTGCTGGAGGGAGCTCCTGGTCGGGGGGTACATAGCAGGCCACAGTGGCGGTGCTCGGTCCATCAGCTCCGCTGGGGAACGAGCAGAGATCCAGTCAGGGAGGCAGGAGGATGGGGATGGCTGGAGTATTCAGGATCGCTCAAGGGCAAGTGTCTCTATTCCAGTCCCAGGGTGTGGGTGATGTCAAACATCAGGATGTCTTCCCCTCGGTGGCCCCACTCCCACCACCCCATGGGTCCTGGGGCCATCTGACTCGCTTTGCTCTCTAGGCACCCTTGGTCTGACTGTTCCTGGCTTAGCCCACGAGTACATTCTCCTAGCCAAGGACCTGAACCTTACAGGGTCCTGCAGGGGATGAGGAGCCATTGCTGATTACACATTTCCATCTCTGAAACAGACCTAACAAGAGGCCAGCTCACACCCACCCTCAGCTGTGGCTGCTGGTCCTATCCAGCCCCCTCCAAAGCCTGTTTCCTCCGTAGCTGTCAAAGCAGGGTCCTCAGGGACGCGCTCACATCCTTACCGAAGTGTGGCAAGTGCTCGCTGGGGATCACAACAAGCTGCCCTGACTGCGGGTCTCTGGCAAACTGGTAGGCGGAAGGGAGAGCTCCCCCCATGGCAGGGGGGAAGCCTGGAGTCATGCCCTGGTGCAGGGAAGGGTGACCAAGTCCTGGAAGAAGAAACATCACAGTCACAACTCAGGGGATGCAGGCAGCTCCCACCCATGCGAGAAGACATCTACCATCTGATTGCTCCAAAATATCACCTTCTCCTTCCCCTGTGATCACACAGCAGCCTCACTGGGCACTTAGCAACACCTCTCCCTGGCCTGCATCGGCGTGAACACGCCATGGACACATCGCTCCCTCCCAGGGCACTCACCGTAGGGATGGCCAGCCAGCCACATGGAGGGGCTGCCCGTCCTGGGGAGCCAGGGGTGGGCTGCCAAGTGCGAAGCCGGGTCTGCGGACCAGCGCCCAGAGCCCGTCAAGGCTGGGCCTCCCGTCACCATGAGGTTGGAGTTCAAACCATTCGTGGCGCAGCTGGAGGGGTGTATCCGGGCAAAATCTGCCAGCTCCTTGCTCTCTCTGGTGATGGAGGAGGCAAGAGAGAGAGTGAGAGAGGGTCCAAGTGCTACAGGTTACTGCACGGCTGGAAAAGTCCAGGGGTATGGACCTGTCTGCCGAGCGAGTGTCTTTGCAAACCAGGGTCAGACACTCAAGGTGAGCTGCGATGGAGCTGGTTAACATCATGTCCAGAATAAAACATCCCACCTCTCCACTCCTTTGGAGCAGGCATGGATTTGCAGCACTCCATTAGGATTGCTCTGCTGCAGACTGAATATCTGCCCATAACCCCATGGTATCCCACTCTGCGCTCCTCCCAACACCAGCAAGACTGGTGCCAGCAGCTACACCAGGATGGATGCAACCCTGTCTCCTCTCCAGACAGGGTGTCCCCAAGCATGGCTTGTGGCACTCCATCCCTCTCCGACCCTCACCTGAGCAGCTTCTCCTGATCCCGCTCCAAGCGCCCTGCCAGGAGGTGGCTGTCCCGGTGGCGACTCCGCTCATCCCCGCAGTCATCTTCTGAGCGTCCGTGCCCTAAGAGACAACTCAGCACCATCAGACACGAGAAACAGTCTGGAGAACACTGTCCCCTCTCCTCTGGACATGGAGAGGAAGTACCCTGGGAGCCAGCACACCCAAACACCACTGTCCTCAAGACCGTTACCAGCTTCAAGCCCTAAAGGACAGGGCAAGGCTGTCTATGCGATCAAGATATTCCCACTAAGGCAGCTCCTAGAAGCACTCAGCTGCACGTGGTTTGAGGTTCATGTCCCCAAGCCATCAAGGGACCCACTTGCCAGGCCAGTCTCCCAGGAGCCACCAGCCTGGGAGCAACAGGACCAACAGGACCATTTTTGCTGAAGGATAGCAGCAGATTTCCCATCTCAGAAGCAGATGAGGTCCAGCTAAAATCCCTGCATCAAACCACACAGTCCTGCTCAGTACATCTCGCAAGGGTCAGAAGCAGGCGCAGATTTTACCTCTGCACCTTCTGAACCATCTTCTGCTCTTGTAAACCAGTCTGAGAGCACTGGGTACACTCCAAATCCCTGTCCTTCTGCAACAGGCAGAACCAACCCTACAGACTCACAAAATCTTGCAATTCAACCCATTAGTGGGAACCTGCAATCCCCCCGCATGAGGCTTGCAACAAGAAAGGGTCTGGCAAGACAGGGGCACATATGGCAGATGAGGGCAAGAGTCCAAAAAGGGGGGGCTGGATGTTTGGCTGGAGAAACAGTTTGTCCAGAATCAGAACAGCTCTTGCAAATACAGCCTGGCACGGCAGCAACCACATCTGGGAGAGGTTAGGAAGCACCTTCACAGGAGTGAACAGCAGCATCTCGCTTGTCCCTGCCAGGACCAGGTACTGGGGCCACCCTTCCCTTACTTCATCCAAAGTTTTCACCCCAGCTGCCTAATTTTAGGCTTGCTTTTCCCTAGTTTTTTCCCTAGCTTCTTTCCTGCATATCCATTTTTTCCGCAATTCCCTGTTGCCTCTCTCTACTTTATGCTTTGGTGATGTGATCCGCTCCTAAATCCCAGCCCTGCTTGCGGCGAGCTGCCGGTCAGTCTATCGGAGCCAGAAGGAAAGGGTCTGCTTCCCCCCAGCTCTCGGAGCACCCCGCCAGTACATCCCCTGCCTGGGTGACACTCTGCACCCCGCAGCGTTTAGCAGCCCAGCACAGCCTCGCACGGCTGCACCCTGACTCCCCGACAGCCCTTTCCAGTGTCTTTGCTCTCCCGTCTGGATAAGGTTTGGCACACAGGAAAGCATCTCAGAACATCAAGTCTATTCTGCTGACAGGCAGTCTTTTCAAGGAGGGCTCCGCTGTGTATTTCCACAAACCTGGACAGCCCATGGTTTTTTTGCTGTCAAGTCTCCAATTCCCTCAGCTTTTACTGTCAGAAGGAATCCAGGAACAAGACAGCATCTCTCCCAGCTCCTCTCCCCAAGGCTCCTTCCATGGGCTTCAGGCAGAAAGCAAAGATGCTTTAAAACCTGGCACACGCCTCTCCCTCCCGAAGGACTTTCCAGGGTCACCACGTTTCCCCTGCAGCCTGCCAGGACGCCGTGCACAGCGGCTGTCCCCAACCAGCCCCTCCTCGACTCACTGGATGATGCCCTGTGCAGCCTTCATTGCTTGGTTTTACCACCCAGACTCCACAGCACGAGGCACAGGGGCTCACGAATCCCTCCGGAGCCTCAGCATCCCTCCCTGCCTCTCCACCAGCATCCCCACTCGCGCAGAAATCCCCTTCCACCCCCTTGCCCAGGTTTTCCCCGCCTTGGAGCCCCTTCTCCTATTTATTTTCCCCAATCAATGTCCAACTTAGTGTCAGCAATATGGAGCAAGCCCTTGGTCAACTCGCAGACTCCCTCCTCTCCTTGACACAAGGTGAGCTGACATCCCCCCCGCCATCAGCCTTTTATTAGAAACGCATTATTTTGTTATTTTACCTTCGCTCCTCCCTCTCCCACCTACATTCCTCGCGCTCCGTTATTTATAGATGGGTTTATCATCTTCTTCTCATCCCCCCCACCCAAACACACACACTTTCTTATTCCACTAACTCCCGCCTAGCCCCCACCCCGCCGACACGACGGTCCCTTTTCTGTACAGACCGATGATTGTCCGGACAGTGAATGATCATTTTGTCTATATATATGAACATGACGCACGGACCGCATAGAAAAATTCAATCAGTTATGCACAGAGGAAAGGCTTAGGTCCGTTTCCTTGACAACCAATGCCCAGCACTAAATACTTGCATTTTACTTGCCAAATACTACAGATTAGCCAACTAAAGCCTGCTTTCTCCTTCTTAAAAGGTCTAAACATTCAAGCACCGTCCACTCAGCGCAAGCAAGCTAATGTTATTAGACGAATATCTCCTGGCACACAAAGCGGGGGCAGCATTTGGGGGGCGAGAGGAGGAGAAAAGCAGTCTTGTTTTCTGTCTGAAAGCCAACTGCATCACTTAGCAACGAGCCCAGAGGCCTGCCAGAATTCAGCCCTTGTTTGCAGCCTTTTAGTTCGGCTCAGTAAATTACATTTAACGCAAGCTGGGAGGGTCTGGGACGATTGAACGGCTGAACAAACAGCTCCCTGTGCTGCCCACAAGGTCCTCGGTCGGCTCCCGCCCGGCCGTGGGGAGGGTGACGGGAGGCGATGGGAACGGGGAGAGGGGCTGTCGGTCATGGGGAAACCACCTCTCGTCGCTGAGGTTTGGGAGAGGGGGGTGAAGGCAGAAAAATGGGAAAAGTGAAAGCTAAAAATGGAAACGCAACCACTGCTCTCCAGCCACGCACTTTGGCAGTGCTTCTTGGCACGCCAGAGCCAAGCTCTGCCCGCGCTGGGCAGCACCCAAGTGTTATCTCACTACGCAAGCCAAGCAGAGCACCAAAACACTCGCAGGAACCATCCCCCTCCTGCCAGCACCATGGCGTAAATCAAATCCCTGAGCCTAAAACAACAGGAAAAAGGTGGATGAAGGAGTTTCTCTGTCACCCCCTTTGCTAAGAGGGATCAAACACGTGGAGAAGGGTTGTCCTCAGAGGTGGAGAGAGAGGATGGCATGTGGGAAATGAGACTCCCTCTTGCATGAGAAGTCCTGCTCCCTGCCATGGTCTACAACGTGCCCGTGGCTGGGAAGAGCAGTCAGTGAGCTGAGGATGCCAAACTCAGCTCATGCCACGCAGCCTGCACTAGGTGGTTCCTTTCCTCAGGGAACAGATCCCATAGGGAAGTCCCAAGACATGTTTGAGGAACCTACCTTTGATGCTGCTGAGAGACAGCGAGCGATCCCGGTCCGCCAAGGTGGGCCCCAGTTTGCTGCTGCTGCTGTTGTCCTTCTGCCGGGCGACAGCCACGGCGATGCCGACGGGCAAGTGCCTCACCTCCGCCTCGCCCTGGGAGCCGATGCTCTCGCGGCCAAAGGATTTGGCACTCTCGGGTCTCTCAGGGTCCCTCTTCAGCTGCTTCGCCGGCTGCTGCGACAGCAGCTGCTGCACTTTGGAGGCACCCAGCTGCGAAGAGTCCAACTTCATGTTGCCCAAGCCACCAAAGGGGCTCTTCTTGCCGCAGCTCTGCCGGGACGCAGTCTCCTTGGCAAAGCTGCCGCTATACTTGATGAGGCTCTGCATGGCCGACCCTTCGCCGTGGGAGGCAGGGGGGAGGACATCCGCCGGACCCCCCGAG